TGTGTGTGTGTGTTCACCACAGGTCCTGGTGAGCGAGGACTCTGATGGAGAGGGAGTGGTGGCTCACTTTCCAGCCCATGACAAACCAATATCCTGCATGCAGTTCAACGTCAGCGGTAAGTCCTGACTCCGCCCACTAAGAGGCTAAGCCGCAAGACACTGGCTGTTCATTCCTGTCACAAGCTGACTAATGGAAAGTTAGGTGGAAGGAAAAATGATGTAGGAAAACGTGAAGAAGGAAAACTAAAGCCTATAAATGAAGGTAAAGGAGTTAAAGGGACTGAAGATGAAAGAGACGGATTATATTCTATGCATTTACTGTGGGACCTTCTCAAAGGAACAGCTGACAGTTTGCCTCTTTTCCTTTAGCTACTAAAATACCTCAGATAATTCCACTTAGCAGCCATGCTAATTGACCTCCTGCTAACTGTTGGTGCTGTTAGAGGCAGTTTATATATACAGATTTTATATTTTACGATTTTTTTAATTATTCAAATATTTATTAATTATATTATATGTTTATTTATTAATTGTATTATATGTTTTAATTATATTCTATGTTTTTAAGTTCCTTTAGGAGCTTAAAAACATAGAAACATACAAAATAAGTCACTGAAAAGGTAAAGTAGCTTTACAAAATAAATGTATGAAATAAATAATTATATTACATAATAAATACAAAATCTTGAAATATAATAAAATAAGATAAAAATATATTTATTTTGTTTTATTTCATCTGAATTTCTATTTATTTAGTAGAATATTTATTGAGAAATGTATCAATAGCAGTATTTATTTATTTGATTTTAAATAAAATGTCTCTCCATAATTTCCAGATTCTTTAATCAGGTCATAGAGGAAACTTTTTAACCCTTTTCTTGCTGTTTTGGTCTTTATAGGATGGAAACTTCTTTAAATCAATCCCTCCACCCAAGCCAGTTAGTCGAAGCAGACCCTCCACATCCTGGCTGAATGGAAAATAAAACTAAAATCTTTTTTATTGATCGTTTCTTTCAAACCATAAACCTAAAAGTGGCATAAAGTAATCTGACCTTTAACCTTTACTGCTTCCCTGAATGACTGCAGACGCATTAGAGCGACTTGGATGGAAAACTAACGCTTTGTTTCTCTCTTCGTCTTCCTGGTTTATACCGAATAAAGTAAAAAAAGAGGCGAATCCTTGAGTGACGGCGAGGGACCAGATGAATCCCAGCAGAGATTTAGAAACCAGTTCGCCTCGCTCTGAGTCACCAGCTGCATTCATGGAGAAAGTTATTGAGAAGGAGCCACAGATCAGAGGCTCTCTCCTGCTCAGCGTTTGTGAGCCAGTTAATAAAGAAGCTGCTGAGGGACGACTCTCACCCCTGACCCCCCCCCCCCAGTCCAGGAATCCTGAAGTCACCCAGACTGCAGACGAATGGAGCAGGAAAAGGATTAAGATCTTGGACAAAGACTGATCCACATGGCTGTCTAGACTCGGTCCACAATCAGAGACGCCCTCCAGGTCAGACCTTAGCGCTGCGTGGCCACACCCAGCAGGCGTCTTTAAATGTTCGAATGAACTGATCAGAGACTGAAAGCTCCATCCTCTCCTGTCTGACCCCTCAGATTAATGAACACTGAGATAAATCAGTGCTCTGAGATTCACCTCAGTCACACTATAGATGGACAAACATAGGCGGTAATTAGATTACATTATTTATCTGTAATATTA